AACTTTTGTCCCTCTGTTGTTTCAGCGGTTTCCTTTCTGCTCAGATAGAAAGAACTTGTTTTCAACTAGATGCTGTTGGACTGCATCAGCTACCACACCAGTTAGCAATTTGAAAGTTACTGGCAAGCAGGTGGTTAGCCTGTAGTTGCCTGGTGCTGCCCCTTTTGCTGGATCTTTCATTATCAGGTAGTTTTTACCAAATGTTAAGCAATCTTCAATTTCACATCTTTGCAATATGTTGTTAAACTGCTTGGCAATGAGTAAGTGCAGACCAGTCAGATGTTTCAAGCAAAAACCATGCAGTTCATCTTCAGCTGGTGCTGACCAATTCTTGATCTTCCTTGCTCTTTTCTCCACCATTTCTGCTGTTATTACAAGTTTTTTCATTTCAGCTTCTTTTTTATTCTTTGTTGTTGTTCGGTCGTTAAGTCATGTTCAACTCTTCGTGACCCCATGAACCATATCGTGCCAGACTTTCCTGTCCTTCACTGCCTCCCTGAGTTTGTTCTTCTGCTGTTATTACAAGTTTTTTCATTTCAGCTTTTTTATTCTTATCTACCTCCTTTATCCAAGCTGCATTCTTGCCGTATTTCTTTGGGTTGTCCCATAGCTGCATCCAGAACTGTACTGTTTCTTCTTTGTCAGATATTGACTGCTTCATTGATGGATTGGTGGAAAGGTTTCTGATCTGACTGAAAGTGGAGACTCTGCCTATAGTGTGCAATTCGAGCTTCATATCTGCTGATCTTCTTGGCTATAGCTGTTATTTGCTGCTTTATTATTTCCAGTGCTTCTTTGATTTTCCTAGTTTCTAGGTGATATTTCTTGATCAGGTATTCTTTGGTCTTCTTGTTTTTCAGCTTTTTTTTCATCTGTTCTAGCTTGCATGCATCTGATCTTAGCATGCTGATTTTATTTTCCAATCTGATCTCCTTTTTAGTTAGAAGGCTTTGTTCTTTCTGAGAAGGCAGAAGAGATGGTGCCTGATTTGGGAATGAGAACAATTTAATAGTGATGTTGGCTTCCACTGCTACTGACTCCCCCTGGATTGTCTCTACTGTCTGAGCTACTTCTGGCAAGGCTTCAATTTCTTTGCCCTGGGTAGTTCTTCCAATTCTACTTCTTTGAATACTTTACTTTGTATTATCAATTCATGTTGATCTGCTAGCCTATTCTGTTATTTCTGATTCTGGATTTTTTTTCCCCAGAACTGGCGCATTCTTTTCAGATATCCTCTTCTCATTGGACTTGATTTGTAATAGCAGATTATTTTTTTGTTTTTAGTCTTTGTATATTTGCAACAGATAAACAACTTTTCTTCCAGTAGTTCTGCAGCAGCTTGCTCTGGTTGCTCAGCCAACAGTCCTGAGTCCTGCAGCCAACTTGTCACCAGATGTCCAGAAACTAGAATACCTAGCATGGTCCTTGTTGACCTGGGCAACAACTGATCTGGTATGGGTTTCTGTATATTACGTCTCACTATATTGTTTATGGGAGAGACACTCGTCTGGCTCCTCTGATGAGACCTGTCCAGTATGGTTGAACCTCTAGCATAGCTCTCGTCCTCCTCGGAGCACTCAAGCCCCACAACATCATCAAGGTAATGCCTCACCAGGGAATTATGGTTAGTTGCGCTGTCAGCCAGATGTTTAGACTGGATTTGGCATTTTTATCCACCTACCAAGGACCTGGGATAGGCAGATGTTATTGTTTGATGGTGTTAAAGGTAACATTGCAGGATGTTCCAAGTAAAGCTGCCTTTTGCAATTGACTGATGGTAATTTTGTCAATGCCAGTGGTGTTTGAGTGGTGCTCCAGATGTTTTGGGATTGCACCTAAGGCAATTATTATTATTATTTTATCCCACCTTTTAAAATATATATTTTGGTCAACTCAAGGCGGTGAACATACCTAATACCCCTGCCTATTTTCCCCACAACACCAACCCTCTGAGGTGGGCTGGGCTGAGAGAGAGTGACTGGCCTGGAGTCACCAGCCAGCTTTCACTCCTAAGGGAGGCCTAGAACTCACAGTCTCCTGGTTTCTAGGCCAGCACCTTAACCACTACTGGCTTTTCTGACTGTCTCTACTCCTATCATCACATCTGGCAAGTGGGGTATGCTCCAAGTCCCATCTGTTAAAGAATGTCACTGAGTGGGATCCAGGAAAATGCCTTTTCTGTCACTTGCCTGCTCCCTGGAACACCATTTCCTCTGAGATTAGATTGGGCCCGACCCCACTTGCCTTCTGAAAGGCTCCTAAGATGGAGTTGTTCTCCCAGAAATGGGGGTCAGGTAGTTAAGTGAACCTGTGAGATATTGTTAGTTATTGCTGATGGTTATTCTTAGCTACCACTGTTTCATTTCTTCTAGTGTATTCTTATTTTTATGTTGCATTATTATATTGATTTTTAATTGGGTTCACTTGCAGAATAGCTTATGCAATTTGGATGTCCATATAAACAAAATGACTAAACAAAATACAGGTCTCCCCACAACTATAGAAACGCCTTAACCTTAACATACTGACTCAAATGGCATCTACAGTTAGGTACTTATTGGCAGTTATCCTGTAACCTTAGGTGCACATTTTAATAGCTCTCCTATTGACCAAAATACAGTAAACAGTCATGTCATCTTATTAAAACTAGATAACAAAAGGCCAAATAAAGGTTATCAAAGCCTTCTCTATTAAAAAAAAATCTTGTGTCTTTAATAACAGCCTTCCTCAACTTGGCACTTTGCAGATATATTAGAATATCAGCCCTACGAGGTAGACCAGATCAGGATTCCACAGGAAGACTAAATCTATACTTTATTGACATATAGCAACAGAATCTTGTAAGCCTGGTTGTGCTTTTCCTCTCCCCTCTCTTATACCCCAGTGAATCAGGGAGAAGCCAGCCTGAGTTCCTTCTTAATACTATTTTCCTACCTTTTTATTTACGTAACAGTTTCTCAATAGTTATTTCAAGGCCATTTCCATGGCTGTCTACATAGGACCACAACTCCCCCACCACCACCAAAAAAAAGAAACCTGAGAGGATCGCAACACTCTAAATGACAATGCTGGTTGAGAATTTCACATGTAGTCTCAATACATGTGGGTGAACCAGGTCAGGAAAGTTTGCATACATTTCAAACAACATTATGCCATCTTCCATGCCATCTTAGGTAGACACTTTTGTTACTTTAATGTAAATGAAAAGCTGGGAGGGAAGGAGCGTTCACCAAAATAGTCCTCATACTTCTGTACACATTGAATATAAAAGTTTTAGAACCTTTTAAAAATTATTAAGTTATCTTACTTATCCAAATCCTGTAATGCATAAAATCATTATTACCTATTTTTCCTGAGCTTATCAACAGGCTTCTCCCCTTAATTCAGGAATTAACAGTCTGGACATATATAGATACACACACAACATGCACTTATCCAAAATCATAAAATACTGCAAAATGTCAGCTATTTTTATGTTGAAACTAAAATAATTCTTCAAAAATTAAAGAGAGATCATGAATATTCTGGAATCCATAGGCACTCTATTGCCAAACCTGCCTTTACTGTAGCTAAAAAATGTGGAGAACGCAGGATTGTGTTTTCCATCCTTTCATCTACTCCTCTCTAGCACAAATTCTTCCAGAAAGAAGGAAGAAACAAAAGTACTTACCCATTCTCTTAACCATGATTAAAATATCATCTTCCACTAACACTTGCTCCAATTACCTGCATATTTATTTTAATTATTTATTTTTATCCTAGAGAAACACTAATTCCTATCTACTAATGCTTTATTTGGCCTGACAGACTGCAAGGGAATGAATCAGTACATTTTTCACAAAACACATTCTCATTCATGGTTTAGGCATTATTTAACTTCATGAAATATTTATATTTACGCTATTAAGCTTCAGCTTATTAAGTAACATCTGAAAATATTAAATATTTCACTGAGCAAGGTTAAAATGCTGCATATAAATAAAATTGTTACAAAATTATTACATAATTATTAATTAATAATTAGCAATGAAGCTCTGAAAATCAGTAATCCTAAAGTAAGATATTACAAACATACTTGTCACTAAGAGATGGTAGTTAATGATGCTGATATCATTATATAGCCAATAAAGTAATATGTACATGGGTGAACTTTACAGCATCATAATACATAGCTTGAAAAGCTTAAGCTTCAAGTATAATCTACAGCAGAGATGGTTGGTAACCCATGGTTCACACAAGAACCTCCCATCATCTATATGGGATTCCTAAAGGTCTACAGGATCATGGTGCCAGAACCCAGTGGCAAAATGGCAAATGTCAGCATTGTGAGATTGCTGTAAAAATAAGGGTAAGAATGGGAACTCAAGGCTTCTGGGAGATAAACTACTCCCATTCACACTACTTAATACCAACCCCCAAACTCCAGAAAATAGGTCACATGCTGAAATTTGGCAATAAAAGGCTGAATTTTAACAGCATAGTTTTAGAGTCAAATATTTTCAAATAAAAACAGGAATGAGAGTGCAAGGCCTCTGGGAGGATAATCACATTCATTCTTACAACTCCCTCTCTACCCCATAAAAAATTGGCCATAAAATTTCAGCCTAACCCCTTCTGGGGATATCACTGGACCTTCAGTTGGCTGTTGTAGTGAACTGTAACCCCCAGACAAAAATGTTGCCTATCCCTGATTTACAGGGAAATGTTCTATGTAGGCTCCACTGAAATTAAAAGGGAATTGTTGAACATGACTGTATTCTTATTGTGCCTCCAGTTTCTCTTAGAGCACTATGGCTCACTTTGATACATTTTAAACATTAGGGCTTTGACGCAGACTGTGTTATTTTCAGAGCTATTTTTTTTAAAATCTATGGAACTGAGCTAGTCATGGTGATCTAAAGTCTAACTTATGTCTATCAAGTACACATGACCCAATTTAGCTCCAACCCATAGACTGAAAAAACCCAAATACCAATGCATAAAATGAATACTTTTAATACCTTGTCAATTGCTTTCCCAACACGAGAAACACTACTGTGGATGTCCTTATGATCCGAAGCCAATTTCTGAACTGTGTCCTTTATTCGTTTACAACATTGGGTCATAACAAGTGATATTGTACCTGATAGATCTTCATCTGGATCTAAACAGGAGAGAGGAAAATTAAAATTAAGTGCATCATGAACACAATCTTAAGCTTCTAAAATCAAAACCCAGGCTTCATACTTTAATTTCAGTTTCAAAGAGCTGTGCAATAGAATAGATTACAGAATATAAATACAAAACTTTATTGCTATAGGAGTAGCTAGCTTTTGAAAGATACAGAAAAAATTACTTATTACAGATAAGAAATCAGGTCAAACCTAAAACCTGAGATTAAATATGCTGCATCTAATATATACTGAGTACATTAGCCAGTAATACTACAAATTACTTACTTGAAAATGCAGTTCTTCAAAAATAGCCATGTCACATGTATATAAACAGCTTTTAATGCAAAAACACAACAATGTTAAGACTCTATCCAGCATCTGAGTCTTAAGAAACAACAGGCCTGTTGAAGTAGACCGTGCTTATTTTTCCTAAATTCATTTCAAATCCCTGAAGAATAGGAGAGTTATTAACTAGAATGGGATGCTCTGGATCAATCCTGCAAACAGCTATTCATCTTTGTTCTAATAGAACAGCAGTTACAGTGGCAAAAAGCATGTTGTATTAGTTTTCTCTATATATTCTTAGAATCAATGCAGATATATTTTTTGTAAGAGTTGACCATCTACAGTTTTGGTCTGACTTGTCAGTTCAAGTCAGTAAGCCCAAATACAAAATAAGGCATCTGTTTGTTTGTTTTTCCAAGAAACTATTCAACATTGTACCCCAATGCTTCATATCCTAAACTGATATATTAAGTATACTTAACATATTTGGTAAGAAGATCCATAAAAATGAGAATGTGTCATCAAATAATTGTATTTGGGTTTGTACAACTAGGACAATTTTTTGTAACCTGTCATGAACATGATTGAAACAGGTCAAGGATAGTTGCCTTTGTGATTATCCTAGTTCAGATGCCAAAATAATGTCTTCTTCTGAACCTTAAAATTAATTTCTTTTCAAAATTAAGAGCCAACTTTTATGTTCCATTCCAAAATAATATCCATGGTGAAAAATAAGTTAGTTTAAAATGCAAATTGTTATATTCAATCAATAAAGCCCTCATATATGTATACATGTATATATATTCATTCTTGTTTTACGAGAACAATACTATCAATTGCTTTATTATTATAGTTAAGAAAGCATCCCCTAAAATATACAAGTTAGGGTTTTGTTTTCTCCATATCCTCTCTTTAAATGGAACCAGTTGTGGCCTAAGGAAAGAAGCGTTCTCATGGTCTGTTTCAAATTTATCCTAATCAATAAATTTATGGAATAGGTCTGGTAATTAGGTGCTCCTGGGAACAATCCTGCCACTGAGAAATATCAACTGACCCTCTCTAGCTGATAGTCTAAAGGCAACACACAAACATTTAAAGGAATGCATAGTAACAACGTCTACTATCATTCCACCAGCAGTTCCACTAACAACCAGCAACTTTAGGAATGTAGAAATGCTGCCCCACTACCATCTTACTCATTCTCAAAGTAGCCTTTCAGGAAAATTTGTCCACGGATATAGAATTTGTCAGAAGATACATGAATCATATCCTGCCCAATTAATTTTACATCATCTGTCATATGTATTTTTGAGGGGGTTTTCTTTCTCTTTCTTGGGGGTGGGGAGGGTGAAACAGAGAAAAAACACATAACCTTATTCTTTTACTACTAAATGTTTCAAACAATATATTTCAGTCAATTCTATAACACCAATGGAGAAGTAAAGGACAAATGTTGGGAAGGGCAGACTATCTTCTGCAGTGGACTTGAAAGAGGGATCCCATAGAAAATTAAAGCCAAATGAACTATATAGAAGCCTAACAAAAGCAAAAGAGGGTGTATCTCTACATATAGAATTTTCTGGGAATGAACCTGATCAAACCAAATGAGGAAAAAAATGAACAGAATTGTTACACTGAATACACAAAAGGTCACATGACTAAAAGCAAATTTAAAGGAAGAGATGACACATTCACAAAGCTTCGGAATATGAGGAAGTACAACAATACGTACAAGACGACTGGGACAAGATAATTAAAACAGCCACAGAGTAGGTTCTGTACAGGGTTTTGCCATCTTGCCTAATTAGCCCTGACCCTATTTCTTTAACAGCAGCCTGACAGAAAAATTAAGAAATGAAACCTTGCCCATTATAGTGATAAAGGTTTTTTTTCCTCGACAAGCTTTTTCCAAGAGTCTCTCTAACGAAGTGTAGCCAACAACCTCCCCCCCCCCCCCCCCCCCC